GTTTTTTGGGGTGGTTAAAGAAAGTGTTCTAAAACGCGACATTAATTTCTTTGACGACCTAATATTAACACAAACTCTCTCAATGGACTTGTGTACAGAGAAGATATAATACTTCTTTGCTTAAGCCCCTAGTGCTACAGAAGCATGTCTGCAGACTTATACTGCTAGAAACCAGGTTTTGATATCCATGTTGGGCAGAGCACAGATAGCCTTTTGTGTAACTTTGTGCTTATTATTAACAACAACAACAATCTCTCCTTAAATGTTAGAAATATTTAAGCTAGATAAAAAAAAACGAATCTACATAAGACTGAGATAATCAACTATTTTATTTTATTAGTATCGAGTGAAATCTTCCAGAGTGCATTTGTTACCCACGTCACCTGGTCACTACCATTAACAAAATTGGAAAAGACGGAGTCTTCAGGTATTTCTGAAACCTCTACGTGACCGAAGCTACTAGAGAACACATTAACAGAAGTTTCAAGTATTCTCCGCGACACCTTCCATGAGAAAGTACAGAAATACCAAAGGGAGTATTGAAACTTGATAGCATGTTTCTAGCACAAGCATAAACTCACAGCCTTAAAAACCTATTTATTTGCACGCTATATCCTCGGTGCCTGTACCTAGTGCTTGTAAATGCGATTATTTTGTTCTTCTGAATATGAAATGTTCACCTTTCTAAATGAAAAAATAAAACACATTCTACGTCTCTGCCTATAATATAAGCACATAAAATTTCAACACAGTATCTAGCCAAGTATAATTTGTATTCAGTATTTAATGTTGGTGTGTAACTATCACATATCAGCAGTCTTATAACCTATAACCCGGGAGAGATTTCGAAAGGTGGACCTTTTTTCTTCAGGAGCAAACTAGGAACGACGATGTAAAGGAGTGTGAGAGATAAAGTGAAATTTACGTGACGTCATGAATGCTACCATGGAATGCCGGATGTGTTTTGAGTATTTCAGTTATCAGCATTCTAAAAGGATATCACACCATTCAGAATGTAGCTTCAGGATAAAAACCAGAATAATATTTAATCGGAACTTAATCATGTCATGTGCTTTCAGCGCTTTGTCATGAAGAATGTAAATTAACGTTTTAAATACGTAAATTTTGAACTACATATCAAAGGACATGGAAAATAGATTCGGTATTTTACCACCCACATACACAAAAATGAACTCTCTACTTAGATATAATATGTGAAATACAGATTAAATATAATAACTGTTTTCTATATTAACTGCCTTGGTGATGGATTACATATCTAACTGTACAGATTACGTATTCAGTAAATAACGAAGTAGAATGATCAGTCAGTATCTAGCTCTGGAACTTGCCTAGCAATATTTCGTTGTGATTATATCCTGTTGATTCGATACCTATTAAAATATGTTCTATGCATGATCACCCACGAACATCGTCAAATTTGAGTCATTCATGTCGAGATGATTAGATAGCATATTTTATTAATTTGTTTGTGTTGAATTTCGCGCAAAGCTACACTAGCAATTCTTAATTTATCAGTGTGAGGCTACTCTTTTACCAACGAATAGTAGGACTGACCGTCACATTATATCACCCCCACTGCTAAATGGGCGAGCATGTTTGGTGTGCCGGGGATTCGAAACCGCAACCCGCAGATCGCGAGTCAAGCACCCTAACCACATGGCCAAAATTAATACATGCAAGGAAAAAAGATAATTTTATCGTGATGAATTCCCCATATATTTGTGATAAACAAATAGAAAGATTGCATTACTTCCGATTCAATTTCATTCAAACGTTTCCAGCAAGTTTTTTGAACCATACGAAATCTTTAATTAATTTACTAATAAACGTTACTGTAAATGAAAAGTGATAAGAAACTCCGGAACTGGGGGTTGAACCTAGGACCTTTGGCTAAAATGGTTTGCATGTACTTTTGGATAACTCAGCTAGAACATTGGTTCTTTACACTTATCGGCCTTTTCCCACTTACAATAACATTTATTACAATGTTTACTTTCATTGATTCATAATTTAAATCCTTTACTAATATTAAATGTCTAAATTATCAAATAGTAATTCTTTCATTGAAAATAACAAAGCTGATAAGAATTAAGACACTAATTAGACTCATTGAGTATCATTCAACATAAATTCAGATCTGCCATTAAGTCGATCATCTTTACTCTTATGACAACTGGTTTACTGGAATTATTATTTTAATGTTTATAAACAGCAACCAACATTATTCAATATTCTCAAAACGTAAGAATAATTCATGTATTTACCATATTCAACGGAGAATTCAATATTGTCTGAAAAGTCGCATTACAGATTGAATGGTTTAAATTGTAGTTCTCATTAAAACACAATTCTTCCAGTTTCGAAATGCTTATCCTGTAAAAATGAAAAGCATAATTATTACACGATCCGTTAAGTATTTACTTTATGTCACTAACGTATTGGTATTTTATTATTCTTACAATAAATGCAAGACAAATGTTAGTTACACAAAATCAAGGAAATAACATTTTTTAACAGCTGTATTAGTTTGTTGGTTTGTTTTAGAGTAAAACGACAATGGACTGTCTGCTGTATCCACTGCGGAGAATCAAATCTCAGATTTCAGTGTTGTAAGCCCTTTCCAATACTAAAATATCACATTTTTAGTTAGGATAGAACTTTATTTTATTCTAAGCGGATTGACTTTACTAAGTAGCAACAGAAGTATAACAAAAATTGTACACTAACTTGTATGAAAGCTAATCTAATACGTACATATTTCAGTTTTATAAATATCAATGAACTGTAAGATGGATGATACCGATATTTCTTTATGCTCTTAAATGATTACACCTTCAAGAAGTTAAGACTATGTATCTAACTTTAAATGACAAATATGCAAGTTCTGGATCGAAACTGGGTATAATGGATGTAACAGCTTATTTGGATTGTAAACATACTGGATTTATAAAACGTGAAAGAAAAGGTATGTTGCTCGAACATTAGGGAATATTTAAATGTCTACTCATATGAAGGTGTAAATAACACACATCTAATAGACATGAATAGACAGGAAACACGTCAAAAAACAACAAATATTTCGATCATTTATACAAAATGGACAAACAACCTAGAAATTCTATTTCAGTATCTTTCAAGTTGCTTATGGTAAAAGATAACTTGTATGACACTTTAGAAGTCATTCCTAACATACTGACGGACTATGTATGTAACTTTAAATGACAAATATGCAAGTTCTGGATCGAAACTGTATAATGGATGTAACAGCTTATTTGGATTGTAAACATACTGGATTTATAAAACGTGAAAGAAAAAGGTATGT